GGGGGGGGGGGGGGGGGGGTCCCTTCCTTCATTTTTCCTTTTTCTGATTCATCAGCCACCTTGCTATCTTGTCATCCTTCTGAGTTCCCCAGCCGACGGTAGCAAGGTGAGACGGTGGTCCAAGCTACTGTCTGACGAGGGTCCTAGTTATCCTAGTAAGTCCCTGGCACGGAGCCCTCCCTCCTGGCCAGGGACTGTACCGAGTGTTTCACACGGAGTAACTCCCTCAGGGCCCCAGGGGGTCTGTTACTTCCACCTCCTCTGCAGGTGGGGAGCCCCTGCTGGGCTCAGCGGACGCTTGCCCAAGCTGACAAGGCGCACGATTGACAGAACTTGGGCCTGAGCCCACGAGGCTTTGCCCCGGGGTGCGTGCCCTGTGATCTGCCCTCAGGTGTGACCGGCCCCTGGGGAGGGTCTGTGGTTTCTACGCAGCCACACCCCCGAGCGGATAAGCATTCTTCCAATCACCTCCCGCGGCGGCTCCCATCGGCCGCAGAACAGGCCGGCTCTATCTTCTGTTCAATCTGAACAATAAATTGAAATGATGTTAGTTACGAGTTTGTAGTGTCCTCAACTGAATACAGGTCTACCTAGTAATACAGAAACTCGGTTTGTATAAATACAGATGGAAACATCCAGGGGACAAATCGGCTGCCTCTAATTTGAGGATTTACTTACACAAGTTTCTGCTTCCTTCATCAGTATTTGAAGAAACGCATCCCTCCTTTATCTGGTCTTGTGTGTCCCCCAGTGGACTCCACAGGTGGCATTGCGTGCTCTCCAGTTTCTCAGGGGAGCCCTCCCTCCCTTCCCCCAGGGGAATAGGCTGCATCTTCTGGAGCCTGAGAGCAAATGGCCCTGAGGGTCTGCCGCCACCCCCCCACCCCCCCGCCCCCCGCACCCCCGCCTGGTAGGAGGCTGGAAGGCCTAGCGAGCAGGCATCCTTGTAACCTTGTGTACACGCAGACATCACCCTATTTTGCATTTGTATTTGCAGCTTGAATATCGGGTTTAATAACTAGATATTTTTTCCTTTCAATGTGGATTTTTAAAAGGTTTGGGATATTCCTCTGAATGTGGGTTGGGTTTGGAGGTTCATTGTTATTTAGTTGAGGCTTAAAAGATATAAAGCCTGTAAAATAATCATAGACTCTAGTTGATATAAGAGAAACAAACTCTGAGGCATTGTATGCAAAAAGAAGAGATTAAAAACTTTTCAGATTTATGTTCTTACATTTCTATATTTGATAATATTTGAAAGCTTTGAAACATTAGTTGAAAGCATGTCTAAACTCCTTCCGAATTTTCAGAAACCTGTACCTACAAATAAAGGTTTCTGCTTTTTTCCAAGGTAAAATTTCGTGTTACTTACTTCATTGTTTTTCTGAAGATGGTGGAGACCGTTAAAAGCCAATTATCAAATTATAAAGTGAAAAGATACCAAAGAGTAAGATTTGGAGAGCACTTGTAATTCTCCCATACCATTTATAATAAAAGTAATACATAGGCATTGCAGAAAACTTGTAACACACACACACACACACACACACACACACACACAATAAATAAAAGAGGAAATAAAAATTGTTTTCCTCTAGAGAAAAATCACTTAATATGTTAGTGCTAGCATCTTTTTTTTTCCATGTTTCTACAAAATAGATGCTCAACATACTTTTGTACTTGCTTTTTTTACTTGTTAGTAGATAATGTGTATTTTCTCATTTCATTAAATGTCAAAAATTTCTCATCTTACTGAGATGTACTATAACTTATTAATTAATTCTGTATTAGAATTTGGAAAAGTAACATTTAGATTCTTTTCAAGTTTTCAGTGTTACAGATGAGTACACAAGAATATTCCGCTCAATATTTCCATGAATATTTTTGGTTATTTCCTTAGAATAAATACCCAGAATTAAAATTTCTGCCTCATAGTGTGATTTGATACCTGTGTCCAAATCACCCACGAGAGAGCTGGTACCAGCTTCTCTGGAGAGAACGACCATTTCTGTCCACCTTTGCTTTGTGAACACAAGGATTATTTTTGGTTTTTTAAATTTCTGGCTATTTTCACTAATTGGCCAGTGTAATATTGACGTTTTAATAATATTTTTAATGCTTATAGCCCATTGATATTATTTAAAGAAGAGATGGCTTAAGAACCTGTATGATTTTTTTGAGGACTTTCATGTGAATTATGAGTTCATTTAAATTTGGTGGCCGATCTACATATTTTACAGAAAACACACAACAAAGAAAGAAGTTGACAAAGGTCTGCAGCTCCCCTGTGGCTCCAGCACGAGAACATGACAGCGTGTCTTCCTGTCCTGTTCTCCCAGGGTAGATGGCTCATGAAAACGTGCCCAAAGACGTCAAGTATATTACATACCAGCACTGTCTTTAAATTGCCCAACTTGGAATAGGGAGAAAAATTCCATATTCTGGGATTTCTATGACTAATTTACAATTA